CTGCCCCATCAGGCTTCTTTTGAATTATGGCAGCTGTTGCCAAAGTCCCAGAATATCGGAGCCCCCTCTTTCTCCCAAGGATCCCCCCCTGCAACCAGAGGATCAGGCTGGGGGGGCAATCCTCTGGTCTGAAATAGAGCAGAGAGAGGGTTTTTTGGGGGTGGGGTTAGGGTTGAGGCCCCTTTTCTCTCCCTGCTAACACTGAAGGAGTGTGATGTGGTGGTTAGGTGTTGAACTAGGGTCTCTCTCTGCCACTGGGTGACCTTGGGTCAGTCACACACTTCATTATGTCTTATGGTTTTAACATTGTCTACTTGTATTAACTGATATTGCTTCATTTTAATTTACACTATTGTAATTTTTATGCTATAGGAGCTGAGGTGGCTCAAGTGGTTAAGACGCTGAACTGCAGGCTGTGGAAGGTCAGTAGTTCAGCAGTTCGAGACCCGAGTCTGCCGCATGACGGAGTGAGCTCCCGTCTCTAGTCCCAGCTCCTGCCAACCTAGCCGTTCGAAAGCAAGAAATTGCAAGTAGAGAAATAGGGACCACTTTGGTGGGAAGGTAACAGCGTTCCGTGCGCCTTGGTGTTTAGTCATGCTGGCCACATGACCACGGAAACGTCTTCGGACAGTGCTGGCTCTTTGGCTTTGAAACGGAGATGAGCACCGCAACCCTAGAGTCGGATTCGACTGGCTTTCGAGCAAGGGAACCTTTACCTTTACTAATTTTTATGCTATTTTATGTAAGCCGCCCCTCTGGCTGGGAGGGAGGGGTAGAAAGTTAATAAATCAAATCAAACCAAACCTACCTCACAGGGTTGTTGTGAGGATAAAATGGTGGTGGAAAGTGCTTGTCACTTGCAGTTGGCTTACCATGGCGGTGCAGGGCTTTCAAGGCAAGAGACGTTCAGAGCCGAGTTGCCTTGCCTGCCTCTGCCTACCAAACTCCCTGGACTTCCTTGGTGGTGTCCCATCCAAGCCCTAACCGGGACCGACCCTGCTTCGCTTCCGAGATCTCCCAGCCAAGTGCTGACCTGGGACGACCCTGCTTCGCTTCCAAGCTCCATCCAGGTCAGGAGGGGCCGTCCAGGTCGGAGACACCATCCCTCCCCCCCTTTCACGCGATGCCCATTTTACAGATCAGTGATATAGGACTGAGGCAGAGATGCAGGGTTTGTTAGGGGGCGGACGAAGAAGGAACTGGACCCCTTCAGCGGGGGCTTCTCCCTCCTACGGGGCTTACTCCAGAGTAGGTCGCCATCGCTGCAGCCCGACGTCGACTTCCCCACCGCTGTCCAGCCGCGCCGGGAGCGGCGGTGGCGGCTGCTAATGCTGCTGCTCCCACGTGGGGTCGCCTGGCCGGGGCCGGCCAATCGCCGGCAGCTCCGACGCAGCCAATGGCGTCCCGCTCTCCGCCGGAACGCCAAAAGCTCGAATGTATCCAATGAGAGGCCGGGAGATGCGGGGGGCGTGGCTTGTCCCGGGATTGGGGTTTCGGGGGAACAAAGAGCGGCGGCGGCGGCACTCCTCTGCCTCCCCCCCCCCACCGTTGCAACGCGCCTTGTTTCCGAGGAAGGCGAAAGAAGACGCGATGAGGAATGGGGGGGGGAGGCTCCCACACTCCCCCCCCCGCATCTTGACGCGGTTCAAGTCGAATCCGCTTTGATGCCTATCTTCAAAGCCTCGTTTTAGGGGAAGCGGCGGAGGGAGGGGGGGGGGCGCCAACACGCACCACGTGACTCGTGCCTTTCCTTGTGTTTAAATGGATACGTTTCATTACTTCCCGGGAAGCAAGGTTGTTATTTTTTTTTTAAAGGGGGGAAAAAAGTTTTCCCTTTGATGCATGAAATCAAATTGATATTTAGCCCCGCTTCAGTCCGTCCCCTCCCGCCCCGCCCCCCGCGCGGCTCCCTCTTCCCACATGGTAGTGACAGATTGTTTGAGCTGGAAGGAGAAGCCATTCAGAGCTAATTAAGCGGCCCTTCCAAGCAGGATTTGCCAGCGCCGGCCTGAGAAAAGCAACCGATTTGTCAGCGCCGGGCTCCGG